AATTGCCAAATTCAGTGGCCTCTTTTGGTGTCTATTCGACACAATTGACCATTCTCTCCTAGTGGATCCTTTCTTCTACTCCAGCTTGGAGATCCATCACTATCTTGGTTTTTCTCCTCTCTCTAACCACTCCTTTTCTGCCTCCTTGGCTGATATGACATCCTCTTCCTAACTCCTTATTAAACATATTCCTTGAGGGACCATCTTTGGCTCTTTTCGTTTCTCTTTAAACATTCTGTCCTTTGGCAATTTTATTCATGAAACAGCCTCAAATGCCATTTATACGCAGATAACCTCACAAATCACTATCTCCATGCCTAACCTCTACTCTGAACTAATAGACTCAAATTTCCAGTTACTTTCAGGATCCCACATAGCCATTTCAAACTCAGTGTCTAAAATCACATTTGCCATCTATTTCCCCAAAAACTAGCTCCTTATGATTTAACTTTTACTATGTATGGCACAATCGACTCTTCCCTTTTCAAAACCATGGGGTTATCTTTGACTCTTATTTCTCCCCACCTCTCTTATATAATCAGTTGCCAACTCCTGTCAATTCCATTGAAACACATCTTGCATCTCTTCTCTTCCTTTGCGAAAATAGAATTTTCACTGCCACTACCCTAATATAATTCTATATTAAATCCTTCTATACTATTGTAATAACCTCCTAACAAGTCTTCCTATCCCTGATCTTTTTAAAAAACTTAATTAACAAAAATCTATTTTCTCTTTCTCCCCCTACTCTACTCAGAAATAAAAGGAAAAATAAACTCCTTGTGATAAATATGCATAGTCAAGTAAAACAAATCCCTTATTGACTACATTCTAAAAATATATGTCTCATGTTGTTGTGCAGTTGTGTCTGACTCTTCATGACCCCATGTGGGGTTAAAATGGCATCAAGGTCAGCTACTGCACTGATGGCAAATTATTTAACTTGAAAAGACTTAAAGCCAAGACTAAAGTGGAGAAACAGTTGGTGCATGATTTTTTGTTCTCAGATGATTGTGCAATTAATGCAGCCTCTGAGACTGAGATATAATGAAGTATGGATCATTCTCTGCTGCTTGTGCTAATTTTGGCCTAACAATTATTATCAAGAAAGCACAGGTTCTCAAGCAGCCAGCACCATATCATTGGAACATACATGGAACATCAGTTACAGCCAATGGAGAAATTTTGAATGTTGTGGATAAGTTCACTTATCTTAGCAGTATACTTTTCAGGGATATGCACATAGATGATGAGGATGGTGAGGTTTATACACACATTGTCAGACCTAGCTCAGTGTTTGGGAGTCTCCAAAGGAAAATGTGGTAGAGAAGAGGTTTTAGCCAGCCTAACAAACTGAAGATTTACAGAGCCATCATGTTGACCTCATTGTTGTATGCCTGTGAAACCTGGACAGTACCATACCAGCAGCATGCCAGGAAATATGTCTTAGGAAGATTCTGAAGATCACCTGGCAAGATAAAGTACTGGACTCTGAGGTCCTTTCTCAAGCTAAACTGCCAAGCATTCAAACTCTAAAGCTGAGAGCACAACTCTGATAGACTGGCCATGTTGTTCAAATGCCAAATGTACATTTGCCTAAAAGACTATTTTATGGAGAACTCACACAAGACAAATGTTCACACAAAGATCAGAAGTGATTCCAGAACACTCTCAAGGTCTCTCTGAAGAACTTTGGAATCAATTGTGTGACATGGGAGACACTGGTAAAAGATTTGATGCCTGCGTCAAAGAAGGCACTGTGCTCCGTGAGCAAAGCAGAATTGTGGTAGTTCAAAAGAACCATGAAATACAAAAATTTAGAGACATCTCCACTCCAAATGTTCATATTGACTATTTGTGCCCAACCTGTGGTAGAGACTTTTGAGCTCTTATTGGTTTGATCAGCCATAGTCAGACACATTTTACCTTGATTCCAACATCGTGATGTAATTTTGGTTCTCTTCAAGAATGAAGGACACCAACCAACCAACCAACCAGAGTGGTTTGCCATTTCCTTCTCCAGCTCATTTTACAGATGAGGAAACTGAGGCTGAGTTTGAACTCAGGTCTTCCTGACTCTAAGCCTGGCGCTCTTTCTACTGTGCCACCTAGCTGCCCTGTACATTTCATTCTGCGCACTTCTCTGTCAGGAGATAGATAGCACATTTCATCATCAAGTCCTTTGGGATCATGGATGATTGGTCATTGATCATGGTTCTTCTAGCTTTCAAAGTTGTTTGTCTTTACAATGTTGTTGTTACTGTGTAAATTGTTCTTTTGGTTCTGCTCATTTCATTCTTTGTCAGTTTATGAAAGTCTTCAAAATAATTTCTTTTGGAACATTTATGTTATAGTGTAAATTGTTCTTCTGGTTCGGTTTACCTCACTCTCCATCAGTTAATACTTTCCATGTCTCTGAAATCATCTATTTCCTCAATTCTTATAGCAAAACAGTATTCCATCACAGTAATATACTACAATTTGTTCAGATATTCCCCAAGTGATGGGCATCTCTTTAGTATCCAGTTTTTTGCCACTACAAAATAGTGGTGGCAAATATATACATATATACACATACACACATATGTATGTATACACACATATACATATATATGTGTATATATATGTACATACATATACACACACACATGCATACATATAGGATCTTCTCTTTAAAAAAAATCACTTTTGGGGGCAGCTAGGTAGCATAGTGAATAGAGCACTGGGCCTGGAGTCAGGAGGACCTGAATTCAAATCTGGCCTCAGACACATAACACTCACTAGCTGTGTGACACTGGCCAAGTCACTTAACCCCATTGCCTAGCCCCCCCCCCAAAAGAAAAATCACTTTTGAGTATAAGGCTGGAAATGATATAGCTAAGTCAGAGGACAAATACTATTTAGTAACTTTTTGTGAATAACTCCAAATTGCTCTTTGTATACATTCACAGGCCCATCAATAGTGCATCAATGTATCTATTATCCCCCAGTCCTTCCAGCATTCATCATTTTCCTTTTTTGTCTTCTTTGCCAAGCAGATGGATATGAGGTAGAACACATTAATCCCTTTAATTTGCTTGTCTATAATTATCAGTGATTTGGTGATTAACCAGATTAGTGATTAACTTGGTTTTCCCCTTTTGAGAACTATTTATATCCTTAGACTATTTATCATTTGGGGAATTGCTCTTATTCTTATAAATTTGAATAAGCTGCTGGCATAAGGACTCACTATTTGATAAAAACTGCTGGGAAAATTGGACAGCAATATGAAAGAATTTAGATTTAGACCAATACTTCATACACCATACCAAGGTAAGCTTCAAATAGTAACATGAACTAGATATAAAAGGTCATTTCATAGACAAATTAGATAAAGGTAGGAAAAAGGTATCTGTCAGATGTGTGGATTGAGTAAATGTTCATGACCAAACAAGGGATAGAGAGAATCACAGAAGATAAAATGACCAATTTTAATTATATAGAATTAAAGTTTTTGCAGAAACAAGTCCAATAATGCTAAGTTAAAAGGGAAACTGGGAAATTTTTTACATCAAATTTCTCTGATAAAGGTCTCATTTCCAAAATATGTAAAGAATTGATTCAAATTTATAAGAATGAATAAGAGTTATTTCCCAATTCTTTCTTTACTCTCAGCCATCATGCAAACTGCTGCAGACATTATTTTTCTTCTAAATAGATCTGATAATGAAAGCCCTCTGCTCAAAAGCCTTCAATGGCTCCCTACTGTGTCCCAAATGAAATCCAAACTCCTTGGTCTGCCATTCAAGGGTTTTCACATTCTGATTCCACACTACCTTTCTGGTCTAATTCATATTACTATCCTTTATGCATTCTATTTCCCAGAAAAACATGCGCGCACACACACACACACACACACACACACACACACACACACATACTATGCTTTCATAAGCCTTCTTATGATGTAAAATGTTATGTTATAGTTATATGTTTGTATCTTATTTCCCCACTAGCCTATAAGCATTACGAAGTCAGGGACTTCATATTATTATTATCTCTGCACTTAACACAGTGGTAGTTAATGAGTGTTTATTGAATGAATACAGAAGAAGCGTAACAAATGATTGTAGGAAAAAATAAAACTTGGTACATAATATCTTTTTTAAAAGGATACATATCATCAGTTATTTCAGTATGTCTCCTTAAAATATGGATTTTGTACTCCTTTTGTGTTTTTATTCATTTAGAATGTTTTATGCACATGAATAACTGCAAATTTTTTTTTATAAAAACAAAGTTTCAACATGCAGGAAGTTTGTTTTCTCACCTACCAATTGTGGTCCTATTATTTAAATATTAGGAAAGAAAGCTTTCAATATAGATGGGCCATATTAAATGATACTCCTTTTGAAAGACAGGATGATTTATGAAGTTAATCACCCTGCATTCTTTTCATCAAAAACTAGATATTCAGCTTTACTCTACCATGCTGTCATCAGCTTTCAGTACTTAGCACATATTGCCTTTTGACTATAAAAACATTTTTTTTTTCTGCTTAGTCTAATGAGGTAAGAGCAAAAGACTTGGAATCCAGAGATCTAAGTTTGAATACTGGCTGCATGGGGAAGTCGCTTTAGAGCCTCATTTTCCTTGTTTCTAAAATGGGAATAATATAACTTATACTACCTTCTATTGCACAGTTGTTGCAAGACTAAAGAAATTTGTAAACCCAAAGTATCACATAGATAGGAATTATTATTATATACAATATAAGCAGGGACTGGGTGTTAACTTGTTTCTAATTTTGAAGAATTTCAGGGCACTTAAACTGGAATGTTTGGGACATTTAAACTGGAATATAAAGGTCATTTACTTTATTTCCTATATCTTTGACCTAAGTATTCTTCCAACTGAAATTTTATATCCATTAGAATAGAGAGCATCAAATTCAGTAAGTCCTACTCAGCTTTCTTACTCAGTAATCTGTGTGTGTGTGTGTGTGTGTTTCTTTTCAGATGCTCGGGTCAGAGGATGGCTCATGTTGGACTCCTACCTTCCTACTTTTTTCCTTACTGTAATATATCTACTTTCCATATGGTTGGGTAACAAGTATATGAAGAACAGGCCTGCACTTTCTCTCAGGGGTATCCTCATTTTCTATAACCTTGGAATCACACTACTCTCTCTATATATGCTTGTAGAGGTAAGTTTTCATTCAGTCAAAGCTACAATTCCAGCGCTTAGTACAGTGCCCAGCATGGAGCAAGCTTTTAACAAATACTGTTTGACTTATTGACAGTTTCAGAGTAGAATTATTTCTAGAAGTTGTTTTTAATCCAGCCCCCTTACCTTCTCACAGAGTTGCATCCCGCAAATGATAGGTCTCCTTCAGGAAGTTCTTCTTATCTCTAAATTCTATTTCTCCTGCAGTAATTTAGATCCATTTTCTTTTGTTCCTGTCCTAATCAAAACAGATTACCAACTGACAAGACTTGGGAAAGGGCATGAGGGCAGTTTTTAAGTATTTAAAGTACTATCTTGTGGAACAGTGATTAGACTTGCTCTGTTTGTCTCTAGGTGGCATAGCGAGGAGCAATGTGTGAAAGTTGCAAAAAAAAAAAAAGCAAAATTTATATTTGATATAAGGAATGATTTCCTAACAATTAGAAAATTGTCCAAAAGTGAGATGAGCTCAGGAAGTAGTGGGTTTCTTTTGAGGGAGTCCTAAAAGCAGAGTATGATTGACTACTAATCACATTTCAAGTTGAAATCCCTTCCAACTTTTAAAGGTTCTGTGAGATGTGATGGATTCATAGAACTATAAAATGTTAGAGTTGGAAGGGACGCTAGAGATACTTCAGTCCAGAGGTGACAAACCTTCTGCCTCAGCCACATACAGCCCAGGACACTCCCCAGTGCAGCCTGAACCAGATTAAAATGTATTTGGGAAATATTTAACAAAATAAATAAAAATACAATAAAACAGAGACAATATTAATTTGTGGTTTTCTTAATCATTATGTGACCTGCGGGGATCTTTATGGAGCACTTAGTGACCTCCATTTCTATTTGAATTTGACACTACTGCTTTAGGCTTTGTCACCCTTATTTTGTAGATGATATAGTTAAAGCCCAGAGAAGGAACTCGTTCAGTCACACAGCTATGGAGTTTCAGAGCTGTTAGTAACCAGAAGACTTAGGCTTCTTCTTTATGAATGAAGCAGTCCTGACACTTTTAACCTGTCCTCATAGATTCTGTTTTAAAATTTTTAATAATTTTTGTTGTTCTTCTCAAAGTTCTCCATGCTTGTTTTAAAATATAGAGCCAAAAACTGGTAAGAGTATAGCAAGAAAGACCCAAATAATGTCAAGTGGAGTGGGAATACTACTTTAGCATGCTACCATCTGTTGAATGAATGAATCAATCTATGAATGAATTAGCAAATTAATGTTAATATGTTTTAGGCTCATTTAGCTTTGTTATTCACTTTAAAAAAAAACTTCTTGTCCACAATAACTCTTAGAATCTTTTTACTCTTGTTGTGCTCAAAGGATTGTTTCCCAGCATGTACAGTTTGTTTAGGGATACATATGTGGCAAATGTATCCATATATGTGTATATGTGACTTCGAGCAAGACACTTTTGGACTTCAGTTTCCTCACCTATAAAATGCCAGGATTGTACAAGATGGCCTCTGAGATCCTTTTCAGTTCTAATACTCTGTGATGTTTCTTCTGACAGATTAATAATTATGCTGATGGTGAAGAATAGCTGACATTTAGGTATAGTACTTCAAAGTTTACAAATCAAAAGTAAGGCTTACAAATCAAATGATTTCATTTGATTCTCACAATAACCCTGGGAAATAACTACCACATATATCATCAACTCAATTCTTGGATGAAAAAAAATCATGCTCAGTTTGTTCATTTCATACAGGAGCTCATTGATTCTTTTCCTTGTTTTTTTTGCTTCTGCTTTATGCCAATTTATCTACTGATTCTCACTTCTATTAAAAAAAAAAGGATGAGAGAAGAAAGATGCTGAATTGCATCTTGTAATTTCTTCCCCATTAGCTGCTTTGGATAAATGGAGGTGGGAAGGATAGCAGTAAAACTAGGGGTCTGAAATGGTGCTGTTGGGTGACCTTTAAATTCTTTTTACCCAGGCATTCTTTACACAGTGTAGATAAGTGAGTCAGTGCTAGCTCAGTTTGCTTTCAGGGCAGCCCAGTGTTTCCTTGAAAAGTATTCCCAGCATCTCTGTGAAGCCAGCTCAATGGCATCTCTGTGCCTGGTGACTGACCCCTGGAAGTGTGAGAAGACATTTCAGCTCTTTTCTAGCTGCCCCCATGACATCCCACACTTCCCATTCCTTTGTAGAGCACTAGGCTTGGGCTTTTTTTACGAGGGCAAAAACAAGTACTGGTTGTCCTGCCAGCAGAATCATTCATTATTTTACGCAGATACCACCAAGAACTTCTTCTGAAAGCCTTAAATGAACCCCCTGGGGCATGTTACTCCTCTGGTAAGAACGGGGCCAAGAAAACTGGGAGCCAGGGAAGTTCAGGCTGCAGTTTGGGATGTAAGTGAAGTTGATATCCCTTTTCTGTCTTTGTCATTCCTTGCTGCCACCTTCAGTACCTCCATATTAAAACCTGTTCTCAGGCTGCAATCCAGATGCCTCTATCATACCCTCCAAAACTCCTCATTTTGGAAGATCCCTTAAACCCTAGAATTCAAAATACAATTAACAAAGAAAGCTAGTCTGAGTGCAAACATTTCCTCTTGCTGCCATGTAGTAAGTAGTTCACTCTTATAGCCGACCCTCCATGCCCCATCTTTGATTACAATTGTAATCTGATTTAATCTGTGTAAACGTTGGGGTATCTCTCATCTTTAATCCAGTAGTTCCTATCTCTACTAATTCTTTCCCCTCATTCTATGAATCTGCTACTCAGTCCAACCATGCCTTCCACTCCCCCTCAGCTTTTCCCTTGACTCTGCTACCTTCTCTAGCTATCATCCTCTTTCCTTTCACTGCCAACCTTCTAGAAAGAGTAGTCTGCACACTCACTGTACCACCTCCTTACTAGCCAATCTCCCACACTGTCACCTTTGATTCTTCTTCTCTCACCTCCCATATTCAATCAGCTGTCAGATCGTGAGGATTCTGCCTCCAGTGTTTTTCAAATGCATCACTTTTCCATTCTCACTGAAACTACTTCCTGAAAAAGAATAATCTCCTGCCTAGTTTCCTTTCCAGTCTTTCCCCTCTCTAATTCACCTTACACATTCTTGCCAAAGTAATCTTCCTAATATAAGGATCTGATCATGCCACTCTCCTGCTAAAAGAGCTTCAGTGGGTCTCTATTGCCTACAATATAAAATACAAACTCCTTAGCCTGACATTTAGTCCCTCTCCCCCAGGGATTTTTAACCTGGGGTCCATGAATTTTTTTAGCAAAGTATTTTTGATAACTATGGTTCAATGTAATTAATTTCCTTTGTAATTCTATGTGTTTTATAATAAAATTCTATGCATTTAAAAGCATTATTCTCAGAAGGGATCCATAAACTTCACCAGAGTTCCAAAGGAGTCCATCATACACACATACACACAATAAGTAAGAACTTCTGCCCTACACTTTACTATCTCTTGCCAGCCTTTATTCACTTTATTCCCTTTCAGACATTCTAATTTCAATCTCCCATTAGATTATTGACCGTTCTTCATTCACCTCCTTGCCCTTTCTGAGTTCAGTGCATTTATACAGGCCTAAAATCACTCCTTCTACTTTTCTACCTGTTGAAACCCTTCTTTTCCTTCTGGGCCATTCAGATGTCACCTCCTCCATAAAGTCCCTCTTCCCCTAGCTAGAAGTCACTTTCTACCCCCCGAATCTCTGAGCACTTTCTATTTGTAACCTCTGTCCCAAAGCTCATTCCTCACGTATTGAATTTATCCTATTCACTTGCCACATTCTAAGAGCTCTTTGTTCTTTCTGAGCTGCACAGACTAAGTCATATTGTATTTGTATATACATCATCTCTCTACTAGAGCATAAACTCCCTGAGGGCAAGCTAGATCCTCATTCTTCTAACACTTCTAGCACAGTTCCTTTCACATTATAACTGGCTTATTGAATGTTTATTAGATGGAAAACTACCGCTGTGCCCCTACCCCCATATTCATAGTATTTGCCCCAGTCTCAATGCCCTCGGGTTGGCCCCAGCAGTCCTGACTATTCCTTAGGAAGTCAGGCTCCTCAACATTCAGTTCAGCAGATATAGCTGGCCATGTTCAGCCTCAGAGTAGAAAACAGCCTGGGGTGGGTCAGAGAGGGAGAAAAGGCCTAATTTTTTTTATTTTTATTTTTTGCTGTGGCAATTTTTCCACCCAACCACAAAGTTGCTGGATAGTTTTGCAGAGGTAAAACTGCTTCTAGCAGCTCTCTTGCCTTCATGCAAACTGCCCATGTAAATTTGAGTTGAGGAGCAAATTCTGTGAGAATCCTCTTACTATACTGGCAAGAAGTCAGTATGATATTGACTCCTCGCATCTGCCTCTCTTTTTTTCTTTCTCTTGTTCTATAACTCTGGGGAGCACTTAAGTAGTACCCTGTAACCTGCAAAGTCAAGACTAAAGGGCCTACATCTGCATGATAGAAATGATCATTTCTCATTTCTGAGATGAGAGATGAGGAGAAAAAAGTAGGAAGAGAGAGGAAAATCTAGAATTTGTAAATTTAAATCCATCTTTCTCCCTTTGATTGTAGAAGGTAGAGGATGGACATCTAAGAGATCCTCCCAGATTGTCCACTATTTAAGGGGGATGCCTAGGACAGTCACCTCATCATTTTCCACCCTAACTGTAGGACTTCATCACCTCCCTTTTAGGTGTTGTCTTCCTCCATTAGATTGTGAACTCTTTGAAGACAGGGACTGTCTTCTGCCCTTCTTTGTGTCACCAGTGATTAGCACAATGCCTGGCACATAGTAGGTACTTAATAAATGTTTACTGACTATTGACTATTATTTATAAGTAAAAGATAGGAAATTTTCACTCAACTAACATATACTTAATCTTGGTACAGTATGTGCAAGATACTGTGATAGGTGCCTTAAGAGATACAGGTCTAATTCCTACATAGAAGTATAATACAAAGTTATGGACAGCAAGGACCATACAATCTAATTTGA